ATGTAGGTTAGCAGTATAAATAAGAAATGTTTTTCGACTTTCATGTGAACTCTAACATTAAGACTACGTAAGAACAGTTGAAACATTTCAAATTTATCAGAAAATTATATAACAAGTCTTAATTTTAGTTATACATTTCAATTGGTTTTAGGCTTTTTTTCGATTTACCGATGAATATATAATTAATAATTAATAATTAATAATTAAAACAATATACGGGTGTAAAAGTTTCATTGCCAAATCATCCTATAAGTATATTTAATATATCATTTATAAAATCAACATTTTTTTTAATTTCAATTCTACCATCCATACGTTTTTTCTTTTTTTCTATTTTTATTAGAATTGTACTCGTCAATTTCGTTTTATCAAAATTTATTATTTTACTTTAATTTTATTAAATTTAGTTAAATACTTTATTTTATTTCAATTTTACTTTGATTATACTTCTTCTTATTATATTTATTAACCTCATTTATTAGTACTTACAAATCTGTCTATTTCAGTTCAAAATAGTAGTGAACTTTTCTTCATTCTAATTCATACCGTTAATTCTATTTGTGCATATTTATAATTTTATTTCATTCTAGAATATCTGAAATTTAAAATCTCTTAATTATAAACTATTATACATTTAAATGAAATTATATTAAATTTTATAATTTCTTATAGTTTCAAACCCCTAGATTTAATATCACAAATTTGACTGTTTTATTTTATTTGATATCTATTAACCATTATTACTTATTATCAAATTTCTTGTTCCTTCTTACGTTACTATAATTAATCTTTAGGTCATTCACGATAAACAACGTATAAATGCTTTTTTAAACAATTTACAATACCAGAATTGCCAAATTATAATAACAAAAAATAATATTATAACATAATTAATAAATAAAAAAGAAAAAAGAAAAGAAAAGAAATATACAACTGCTTCAACAAAGCAGTATTTAACGTGCCAAAAAAAAAGTCTCGTATCCGGTCAAATACTATACGTTACTATACGCGTTCCTTTCTTTTTTTGTTTTTTTTCTAAAAGATTTACGAAAAGTAAGATAGAGTAGCTAGTGCAAATGGTGGTCTATCAAGTCAGAGAAGAGAAAATAGTAAAAGAGAGAGAAGGATAGATAGATAGATAGATAGAGAGAGAAAGAGAAATAGCAAGAAATCCTTTATACCACACGTCGGTTGGAGTTTCGTGGTAAGGAAAAGTCTCTCGACTTTTCTCTCTTCTTCGTGGTTAGGCCGCTAACGATAAAAGCTAAAGAAGAAAAAAAATAAGAAAAAGAAGAAGAGAATAGAAGAGAAGAGAAGAAGAAGAAGAAGAAGAAAGGAAGGAACAGTTGGTGCATAGGGTTGGATGTTTTAAAAACTCCCTTTCGCAGCCAGTTCACCGGCACTCCCACACCATTAAGACAAGCTACTAGATCTTCCATTTTCCTTTTTCTTCTTCTTCTTCTTCTTCTTCACTCAAGCAAACCCTTTTCTAAACCGACAAGGCTGTAAAGCACCCAGCAGCAGTCAGACAACCGACCACATGCTACTAGGTTTTTCGACGAGAAGAATACACGTCACGCATGAACAAACCCCTTTTCCACCCCCCTTTTAATCTGTTCTTAAATCTACTCTTTTCTCTATCTATCCATCTATCTCTCTATTTCTATATCTATCTCTCTCTCTCTGTCTTTCGATTTTTTGTCTTTTTTTAAACGCGAAAAAGCCTATGGGGGCAAAAGCAACACACGCGAACTCAAGGATTTCAGAGAGATTTGTATGTGTTTCTTGGAATCGGTAAACGAGGAAAAAAAAGATAACAAAGAGGCAAAAAATCGGGACGTCAAGGGGTAGGTGGGTTAGGGGGTTTCACAAGGAATGGAAAGAAAGGAAGTCGAGTCTCGACGTCGTTCACGTGGATTTAAATATCTGAGAAACCCTTAAGACAGCTAGCTAGCTAAGGTACCACCATCACTCTCAACTCGTTCTCCTTTTATCGCTTTTTACTTAGTTCTCTTACGTCCTTTCTTTTTTCCTTTTCTACGATGTTTCTTCCTTCGTGCTTTATCGCAAGGAAAAGAAAAAGAAAAGTAAAAGAGAGACGTGGGGAGGGGAGGAGGGATGGGTGGGTGAGTGGAACGAAAAAAAAAGGGAAATTCAAGGCTTATTCTTTTCCTCGGCTTTTTACAATTCTTTCTTTTTTCAGTCTTTTTTTTATTTCTCATAAAAAAAAAAAAACGAAGCAAGCTCCGAACGTCGTCGATCTAACATCAAACGAGAGTAATCTCTCGTAGTGTTATCCGTGAATATCTCGCGTTCATTTAAAAACCACTTTTCTTTCTTTCTTTCTATTTACGATAGGAGAAAACGATCATAGGTTCCTAAAGTATATTTGAATTGCGCGCCTAGAAAATTTAAAATTCGAGTAGGGAATTTTTATGCGTTAATTTTCGTGCATTTCCCCCCACCCCACTCTTGTTGCCCATGCTACGCGTGCCCTGCTGGGCTCGTTAACATAGACATTTTTTTCTATTATTCTTCTGGATTTCATATAAATCCGAGATACGACAAAATAAGCGATGAATCAAGCGAAATATTAAGCGGGACCAAAAGTTCCTGAGTTGTTTTTATTTTTTATTATTAATAATATTTTATTTCGCATATTAAGTAATCTTATTGACTTCCAAAAAATGTTGAATCTATTCGAAACAATATATAATAAACGAACAAACTTTTAATTTATCCTAATAGAAGTATAAATATATGCAAATATAAACGCGATTCTAAAGCTCATGAGTAATTAAAGAGATAATTTGTTATACGCGTATTATTATTATCTTAAACAGAGACAATTTTTGTCATTTGCAAAATTTGTATATATATTATTATCATTGAATTAAATTAAAACAATCTAATATTCGATTTCGCTAAATTATTATTTTTATGAACATACAAAATATGATAGACGACAAACAAAAAATTCTTTCACAATGATATAACAAAGAAATAAGATAAACTAGTACAAGAAGAATAAGAAGAAGAAGAAGAGGAAATAGAAAAAAAAAAAGAAAAAAAAGTAGAAGGGCAAGAGGAAGAGGAAGAAGAAGAAGATGAAGGAATATCGAGTAAAGTGACTAAATTAAAACAATCTAATATTCGATTTCGCTAAATTATTATTTTTATGAACATACAAAATATGATAGACGACAAAAAAAAAATTCTTTCACAATGATATAACAAAGAAATAAGATAAACTAGTACAAGAAGAATAAGAAGAAGAAGAAGAGGAAATAGAAAAAAAAAAAAAATGAAACAGAAGAAACTTTTAGTCATGAAAGAAAAATCCGTAAGGGATTTTTTTTTTCTCATTCTTCCCTCCGATGTTTGGCATTAGCGTGACTCTTTCTCTGCTTTCTCGGAATTCAATAAGAACGTTCGTGGAATAAGAAAGCAAAAGAATAGAAAAGAGAAGGGAATAAACCACTAAAGAAAGCAAAAAAAAAAATATAAAGAAAGAAAGAAAGAAGGAATGGTAGGAAAAGATACTCACTCTCCGGACAAACAGAGTTGAGGGGGTTGGCCTAGACGAAGAAGGGTAAAAGTGAGAGCCGTGGCGTGGGTGGGGGAGGTGGGGGTGGGGGTGGGACCTGAAGTAGAGGGAAAGGCAAGGAAAGAATCCTCTTCGGCGACACAAAGACGACCGTCGGCGACGCAGCCTGCTCGACCTCGATATTATAATGGAATTCGTTGACAGAGCAGAAGTCGTTTTCTTTCTTGTATTTTTTTTTTTTTTYTTTTTTTTTTCATTTCCAAAAGATGAGAACCTTACGTTTGTTGAGGCCTCCTTTTCGTCGTCGTCGTCGTCGTCGTCGTCGTCGTGGTTGCAATCATGGTTGCGTGGTTTGTAATCGATTGTTATGAGACGGAAACCGATAATAAATCGAAAGATTTTAGAAGGAAATTAAATGAAGTTAGGAGTTTGTTTATTGCTAGTGTCGGTGTCGGCCAACAATTGTTCAGCATGTCCAGACCATTCTTTTTCTCAATCTTTTTTATTTATTTTTTCTTTTTTTTTTATCTTCTATCTCATACTACTCTTTTCTTTATTCCTCTTTTCATCCGTTAAACCATCTTCTAAGAGGAAAGAAGCTTCGATTTTTTCGAACGTTCGATCGTCTTTAATTAAGAAGACCTTTTTCCTTTCAAAATTTATCCTCCTCTCTCTCTCTCTCTCTCTCTCTCTCTTTTTTTCTATCTTTTTATTCTTCGTTTCATTGAGAAAAGCCCAACGGAGTATTCGGGTAGAAAAACGAACTGGGCAATCCTTCGATAAACCGCATTTCAAAGGAAACTCGTTAAAGCCAATCTTCGATGGAGATCGAGACCCGTTCGTTCTTTCGTTCGTTCGTTCGTTCATTCCATCTCGATTTTGGGTTATATAGAAAACTTTTGATATTGTTTTTCTTTTTTTTTCGAATCTTTGTATCGTAAATAAATTCATTTTTGTATCGTTTCCACGAAGAAAATATTATGATCTCATGCACGAGTATAAAAAAAAATAAGAGATGGGCAAAACCTCTTCCAAAAATTGTAATAATAAATATTTTGTTAAATATTAATGTGAAAAAATAAAACAAAAGGAAACAGTAAGATTAAATCGAAAGAAATCGGGCTGGGGAAGGAGGAAAACAAGGAAACACAGAAAGGATAGAAACTCGTAAGAAGAAACAAGAAAATACTCCCTAATCTCACCAGAGCACGATATGGGGAGGGGTCGGGGGGGGGGGGGAGGTGTTTGAGGAGGATACTACTATTATAGTAGGAACGATATTAAACATGGTAGATCGTGTCGATTCGAGCGTGAAACGAACGACAACCCAATTAAAAAGTTCCTTGGGACTTGCTTTTCTCAACTATTTTCCAGTGCCAACCATAGAAAAGCACCTGGCGAAACGGCGAGAAAGAAGAAGGAAAAGAAGGGACAAAAAGAAGGAATTAGGAATGGAAGGAAAAAAAATCTTGGAGATGGAAGAAGGGAAGGAGATAGAGTCAACGGACAAATCGGAAGGTAAAAGACCGTGAAACGTATTTTTTCTTTTTTTTTTGTTTTTGTTCCTTTTAGAACTCTTTTCTGTCCTATGTTATCTCGAGATAAGGGATGAGGAGTGAAAGAGAGATAGAAAGAAAGAATGAAAGAATGAAAGAAAGAAATAGAACGTTTCTTGAAACAATGCGAAAAAATAAAGGACTAGCAAACTGTTAGACGGTAGAAAGTGAACGTGGCACTTTTGGAAGGGTAGATAATTAGACAAGAAACACAGAGAAATTCACTCTCCTTCTCTCTCTCTCTCTCACTTTCTCTATCTCTTATCATCTTTCGTCGTCCTCGCGCGACTCGTTTCGACCTAAACTCCTCTCTCTCCGATTCCTTCTAGCTTGCACTCACACGAGCTAAATGTATCCTCCTTAATTAAATATAAACGCCGGCTTACCTCTGCTTCTCAAACCGTACTTACCTACCTCCCCGTATCCTGGTATCCTCTCTTCCTCTTCCTCTTCCTCCCCCTCCCATTCCCCCTCCACCCACCTCCTCCCCGTCGTCGTCGTCGTTCTCATTCTCCTGCACCTTCTATTCCTGGGTTACACAACCTTTCGAGGAATAGGTAGGCACGTAGCAAAGTCCCGCGACTCGTACCCATTCTCTTCTAACCGTTTCCACGCAATTACTAATCCTCATCCCTGTGTACCACATACCCTCCCTACTCGTACGTTAGAGAACGAACGCGAACAGTACTTGTGCTGTTACTGCTTCTGATGATGCTTCTTCGTAGGAAATGACAAGGGTTGGTAAATGTATACTATCCGATGCACGGATGTCTCTCCAGACTTTACTCCTATCTACAAACTCGTGTAATTCTATTTGACGATCCTATGTTTTAAGTTTTGATTTTTGTTTTCTGTTTTGTGTTTTGTTAAGTGACAAATAATATTTTTAGGGAAAATAGAAGATTTTTTTATTACTGTTCGATTAGAACGGTATTTTAATGAAGACACTATTAACTGATGCACGATGTTTCCAAGTCGTGTAATTGTATTCGAAGATTTTACGTTTTTAATCTGAATTTTTTGTGTTTTGTGTTTTGTTAAGTGACAAATAATATTTTTGGGGAAAATAGAAGAATTTTTATTACTGTTTAATTAGAACGGTATTTTTTTAATTAAGACACTACTTTTGCTTACACTACTTTACTATTTTTGCTTACCCTTAAAGCGGGGAACAAGAATAAACAAAAATTAGGATAGTAATTTTTGTCGAGTTAATAGAAGATATTTTTGGTTGACGGAACGTAGTAGTAGTAGTAATAGTAATTTAATTAAGTAAGAGAGAAAATGTTTAGGTCGGTATTTGAATTTGTAAAAATGACAAAATTTATTTTGTCGTAATGGATACTAATGATTAACTTTGCTTCTTATTATCCTATCTTTTTTTTTTTTCTATTTTTTCTCTTTCCGCTAATTACTTTGCAGTTAAAAATATAAAATATTACTTATTCTTTTTTTTTTTCGTTAACGCGATATGTTTGAAATGTTACTATTAGTTTTGAAACTCTAACGATAGTTGTCGTTTTTCTTTCGTCAAAGTGAAATAATAATAAATGAGTGGGATGGATAGTAGAAGCCATTTAATTAATTAAGATTTTTTTTCGCGTTATATCGTAGAAACGTATACGTGGCTCCAGCTATTCTGTCTTTCTTGTAACTTCAAATGAAAGCTAAAAAATCAATAAATTCTCGAAGTACACCGAGAATACCGTTGGTCGATGTTACAGACTGAAAATAAATGATCATAGAATTAACTTCAAATTTTTTCTATTTTATCAACAAATGAAAATATTAGGAGTACTCTCTGTCTCCGCGGGTTTTAATTCAAAAATTGAACTTTTTCTCATTTTTCTGATAGCATACGTATTATACTTCGTCGAAATAACGCTTAATCTTTCGAAACTATCTAACTAATCAATCGAATTTTTGGGTATCTTCGTATGATACGAAGTACTGTTAGGACACTGGCATGCTTCATCGATCGAAATAAGTGGTAATCAGAAGAAGAAATGTCTGGTAAATTCGACAGGTGGGGTAAAAATTTCGAATCGAGTGGTTCCCAAGTAGGTTTTGACCGACGCTGTAACATGTGGACGAGCGCGCAATATTATCTCAAAGAATAATTTTCTTGTGTCCCCTTGAGTATAGTATTGGGCATGTTTTTCACAGGCTTCCTTGTTTCTTAATCTAATCATTTGTATTCAATAGAGAAAACAACGACCATTTTCTTCTTCTTCAAAAAAAAAACATGTCCCATTGTTCGGTTCACTGTTTAGGATATTTGACTCCATAAGAGAACTAATTAAAAAAAAAAAAATACACTGCCTTTTTTAACGTTAAACAAATCTTTTATCTGAAGAGGAAATGGCTGGTGCTAATGTATCGGAAGTTGAGGAAGAAAAGGCTGCTGCTAATGTATCGGAAGTTGAGGAAGAAAAGAGATCAGACACGGCGAAGAAAAGTAATTGGTCAACTATTGTAGTTACCTTACCCCAACTGTTGGATCTTGCTCTGGGAACACCAGAAGTTAGTATTTATTAATTAAAATTTAAATATTTTTAACAACAACAACAACAAAATTAAATAGTAATTTATTAATTCGTTGTTTCCTTTGTTTTTCCAGGTCGGTGTAATTAATTTAAACATTTTACACAATTTTCTTCATGTTTTATTGCAACAAATAAATATTAGAACAACTAAGGTTGAATTTCGTGGAGAAGATGCCAGACGAATGGAGGTACGATCATTTATTCATTCATTGTTTATTATTAACAATAAAATGATCGAATTAATACTCTTATTATTTTATTTATCGTCATTATTATTATTATTATTATTATTATTATTACAGACTGCGATAGCTTCATCTAAATACGGTCCAGATTTGCATCTTTACGAGAGCAAAATCATCAGTGGATCTAATCAAATGAAACAACGTATTCACAGCACGGACCAATTAACGGTAAACGTCGACGTTATCAAACAAGGTAAAATCATATATCTTCGTTAAATTTACACAACGATTTAATTGTTTAATTTTGACTGATTTAGATGAAGCCACTGCTGGAAAATCGGTTAGTGCTCCTGTTTCACCCCGAAATGATAAACAAGAAGCAACCAATTCTACCAATAAAACGATGAATTTGGATGTGGAAAATAATATTGAAAGTCGTGTTTACGTCGAATCAATTGTCAACGGTTTGACTCCAACTTTTTCCGCTTTTAAACAACTCGAAGAAAACGTAAGTATTATAAATAAATTATTAGAAATGTATGATTATGAGATTATAAAAATTGAAAAATTTTGCAGGTCCAACGTCTCGAGAAACAATTTGAAGCATTACAAGAACTGTCTACTAATTCTGAATTAATTGAACGATTGAAAGGTAATCTTACGGATCCTTTAACAGACGTTTGGAATATTATTAGCATTAACAAAAGACTCGATGCCGCTGAACAAGGAATCAGTAAGGTATATAGAACAATTTTCGTTTATTGTAATAATCTTTTTTTACCCCTTGATCGTATACTAATTAAAATTGTAATTGTTGACTAGCTTACGTCGATGATGCAAGAAGTAATTAAAAATGAAAAAAATATTAAAAGTTTTACGCATAACATGACACAGACTAAAGGGAAAAGTGTTGAGAAGATTATCAGTACCGATGTTGAAGATGAAATCATAACCGATACGGGTGATCCTCCTCCAGGTAAAGAAATTCAAACGATTTTGTCATTTTTCTAAACAAATGTTTTCCACGACTTTAAATGTAATTATGTTTTTTTTATACTTTTTGCAAAATACAATATGTTATGTAAGCACGTTGAATCAAATTTATTTTGATTAATATAATCGATGAGATATTACTCCGTTAAAATTAATATTTTACAGAAAGTAATACAGGAACGGAAGAAGAAAGTGCTAATAAACAAGATATCGATATAAACTCAAATGAGTTAAGAGACAAATTAATTAATATATGCTTACATAAATGTCAAGATCTTGATACAATGCTCGATTGTGAAGTATACAAACTGCATGTTGAATTGGTCTTATTAAAAGAAGACAAAGATCGTATAGACAAGGAAATACAAAAAATATCAAAAACTATTTCATCCATTGGAAGTGAAAATATGCAAGATATGTTAAATAAAATTAAAACATTTGTAGACAATAATATAGAGGAACGTATACTAAAATTAGAACACGACATTATGGGTAATTTGAAAACTCTAAATTTATCACAAACTTATAAGTTTCCTCAAGATATTGAAGAAAAAGATCTCAACAATATGATATCAAAAACTCAAGAAATTCAGGAAGATATAAGAAAATTAAATGAAACTGCTAATTTTCTTATGAAAGACACGGCAGATCGTAACGAGAATCTAAACGTAAGATTATATGCTAAACGCAACAAAAAAATATACATATATATATATATTTTTATCTTAACAAATAAATAATATTTATTTCAAATTTAGGCAATTTTGGAACAATTGCAATATTTACAAACAATAAAAGCTGATAAGGAACACGTTGATAGTAGTTTAGCCGATAAAGCTGACGCTGATACTCTAAACAGAAAGGTTTGAACGATTTAAAATCTAATCACGTATGTTAATAACTTGTAAATGAATAATGAAAATGTGCCTAAATGTGCATTTAGGTTTCTCACGACAAATTCGATACTGCTTGTAACGATTTAACACAAGAAATACAACAAGCATTGGAACAAATGAATCTACAAAATTCTAATATAGTTCAACATTTTGCTGATATACAGAAAGAGATCGAAAAGAAAGTAAATAAAATAGAGGTAGAACCATTAAAGGAATACGTTAATAAGCAATTGAATGATCTTGGAGAAAAAATAAAACAAATGGTTAAAACTAAAAGTGAAATGGAAGCTGCTGGGACAAAGAAAATGCTAAGGTATTTATTCACTTTTACGAAAAAATTACACACACAATTAGTTTATTTATTAATTATTCCGGTTAAAAATTTATTTGCACATTTTTCAAATTCATTATCTTACCAATCAGCGGAGTACAATGTATATCCTGCAATAAAAACACAATGATGAGAATGGAAGAAAGTGGAAGATTTGAAGCACCTGCTATGCCTTCGACTAGAAGCATAAAACCTTATCTGTCTTACGAATTGGATCAAATTAGAAGGCATCAGAGAACAATACCTTACAGTAAAGATATAAATAAACTCGAGGCATTAATGACAGATGCTAAGAAAAAAGTGACAGATATAAACAAATCATCGAACGAACAATCAATTAGGTTTGTTCTTTTTTGTTCCTTTTTGGCTGAATTACATTTACAAATGTTACACATTATTTTTTGTTCTTTTCTTTTTTCTTTTTGTCTTTTTTTTTTCATTAATAAATGTAACAATATATATAATTTTATTAATCGACAGTGAACATGGAAGCAGGCGTTATTGCGGTGGAAGTCATACGGTTACAATTCCTGAACAAAGACTTAAACGAATACCACCGACTTTTTATTCGCGTGGAAATGTTAATGAGGTAATGGAAACATTTATGAAAATACGAAGTCATCCGCTCGGAGCTCAAGCTTTTAAAAAGAAATATGAAGATGAAATTCCTTGTCCTGCGGCCTCCGAAGTTCCTCAGGTGAGAGAAATGTGTGAAAAATAGCCAAAAAAAAACAAAACAAAGAAAAAAAAATAATAATTTACTTACTTTATAATATTTTTGTATAAATTAATAAATAAATAAATTGTATTTTAATGGGCGTATCAGGAGACACCGCATACTTCTTCAAAAATATTATAGGATGATTTAAATCAATTAAGTAAATCTAATGTAAGTTGTCACTTTATTTTTATTTTAATTTCTAATTTGTATAAAGATAGATATAGCATTTGTTAATTCTTTTTTTTTTTTATTTATTTAGTTTTCATAAAAAAACATAAATGCGGAAAATGATTGATAAAATAAAAATGTCATTCAATCTGTAAGAATAATTTTAAATGAAACGGATCTTCGCAAATTAAGATTATTAATTAAATGAACTTAACATAAAAGTTTATCTAAAAAAAAAAGGGCAATATGAATGGAACAAGAAGAAAATCTAGAATAAAAGTGAGCCAATGAGAAACTTCTTATCAAAGTGAAAGCTTCGACCAGAACATAAGAAACTAGTTTTAGATACTTCGCAATCGCACAAATAAAACACGAATATGAATATTAAATAATTTCGTTTTTGCTCCTAAAAAAAACAAATGGGCAACATTTTTAACTTGATCTATAAAAGTTAGATTGCAATATACATATATATATATATATCGGTAATTTTTAAATCTCTTAACGATGCACAATATATTTAATAAACTTATGTAAATTGTATTTCCTAAAATCGTGCATTCGTAAATTAAAATAAACTTATTTCGTAGAATAATATAAATAAAGTCAAATAAAATATATTTTTTTTAAATTTCTAATAAAAAAACAAAAAAAGAAAAAAAAAAGAAAAAAAGAATAATCAACATATTTATTATATAAAAAATATTCAATAAATCTTTACAAATAATGATCAAAGTAACGAATGACTTATTAAATGTTTTATTATTAAGGAGGAATTCCAGAGTACACAAGACTACCCCTAGCAAAGTTGATTTCGGAACATCGGTGGTTTGGGATTATTAAGATGAATAATAAAAAAGAAGTAATAATAGAACAAACAAAAAAATTAATATAAGAAAGAATAATACACAGGGGGTCGCAAGTTTTTAAAAAGAGACGCAGTCGTCCTGCACGTGTGTGTCTGTGTGTGTGTATGTGTGTGTATGTGTTACATCTTTCTTCCTCTCTTTCTTTCTCTCCTTTTTTTTTCGCGCGTTCTATGTTTTATTATTGCACATCACACAAAGATTCTCATACACAAAAACGAGGGTGTGTATACAGCAGTTTTTAGGGTATGGGAAGGGGGGTCAACGATAAACGAGTCAACACTCGATTTGTTTGCTTGCGTTCTCTCTTTCAATTTTATATTCATTAATCGCAAACCGACCATTATTAATTTTAATACTCGTATCGTAAACCCCCCTCTATATCAGGGATTACTAGCTAACATTATTTTTTTTCCGTATTATATTTATATATAATTTATGTACGTCGGATCTATACGCTACGTCATATAAATTTCAAGGTACAGGAAGTATCTACAAAGTTTTAATGCTACCGCATAAGTGACGTGTGTTAATTCTTCTTGTCTTTGATGTTATTATTATTAATGTTAAGATGTTCTTTTTGTTGTTGTTGTTATTTTTACGACTACGTTCCCGTTATCTTTTGCTTTATGGTAAATGACGTTTTCTCCGTTTTCTCATTTTGTTTTTATATACTACGTACCTTCTAGATCTAGGATATTAAAACTACGAGATACCTTTTCATCATTTCTTCATTTCCTTTTCTTTTCTTTTCTTTTTTTTTTTAACTTTTAATTCCTTTTTTCCCACTAATATTGTAAGATCTTACGACAAATCAACGGTATACAGAATAATATATTAGACGTAAGACCACAGGTATTAACGACACAAGATGTTGGTTTTTTCCTATCATTTTGTTCCTTTTATCAATTTAATATAATAATGAAATAAATATATTTATATGTATATATGTATATATACATATATATATATATATATGTATATATATATATATATATATATATATATATATCTATAATCATTTCGTATTAATTATCAAAAGCAAATGTAACATTNAATATATTTATACATGTATATAGATTATAGTTTCAATATAATCGCTCATACGGAAAAATGTGATGAGTAGATGTGGCAAGGGGGAAGGGGGATGAGGGAGGGGGCGGGCGGGGACAATAATAATGTCTTAAACATTAACATGGATATGCATTATCGATTACAGTTAATAATACTGGCAGCTTAAAGTACAACGTGTCGTATTACACTGAAAAACTAATCTAACGCGAAATGGTAGGGAGTGCCAAATATGATCTCTACTATCTCTATTCTCTATCCCCTTTTTTATATTATATTATATTATATTATATTATATTATATATTATATTTTATTATATTTTTTATTTTATTTCATTTCATTTCATTTCATTTCATTATTCTCGTATTTCACGAAAATTAGATTTAGTTAGATAATGTTTAGAAAGCGTAAGGAGAAAAATAGTTTGACGCTTATGTTTTTTCTGGCCGGCGCCTGACTCTCTGGACGAATTATATAATTGTTAATAATAATTATAATAATAACAATAATAATGATAATAATAATAATAATAATAATAATAATAATAATAATAATAATAATAATAAAAGCAAACCATTTAACGCGCGATTTGGTCGGTTTTTTTTTAATTCGAAAGAGCACTCGCTACCAATCGATGGAAAAGATTATGATTAATCTAAGTTTCCTAATCAAATATATATCAATGAATGGTATTTTCATCGTATTTTATTATTTTTTTTTTTTTTTTTATTATAATGTTTTAAAAGATCACTCAAGTTTTTTTTTCATTATATTAATAGCCGACTAAGAAAAATTCGCACTCACAACCGTCGTGAATCGAATCGCTTCGAAAAAATTATTGTAACGCTCACACACGGACGATACGAATATATCCTTATATATTTAATATTAATCTTCAGCGAGCAATCGATACAAGTCGTTGCATTTTCTGACTACGAATAAGCTGCTTCCTTTTTTTTTTTTTTTATCTTTATTCTTATATACTTATTCTTATTCTTATTATTATTATTATTTTTATTTTTATCGTTATACTTATAATTATTCCTCTCGTTTAATTTTCATCTTTCCTCTCTCTCTCTCTCTCTCTCTCTTTCTCTCTCTCTCTCTTTCTCTCTCTCTCTCTTTCTTTCCTAACACATAATTCATCGTAGTAAATATAATAATAATAATAGTAGTAATAATAATAATAATAATAATAAAAATAATGACAATAATAATTACTAATCGCTCGTAAACCTTTCGGTCTCTTCTTTTTTTTTTTTGTCTTCCTTTCCTTTTTTTTTTCTTTTTATACGAGAATATTGCACAATTATATTAGCGAACAACAGATGTGTAAGGATTAAATGTTGGAATAATTAAATGTAACAGATCACAGGTGAGAAACTAGGCTTATACTCTTTCTCTGTGTAACAAATTAATATCACATGAAAAAATATGTATCGGTTGCCTCTCTTCCTTCCTTTCTTTCTTCCTTCCTTCCTTCCTTCCTTTTATCTTCATCATCTTTTTTTTCTTCTTCATCTTCATCTTCTTCTTCTTATTCTTATTCTTAGTCTTATTCTGTCATTTCTACCTTTTTTTCATCTCATCACATTCGTAAAAATTCTTTCGAAAAATTACAAATTGTCGGACGGATGACTCGGCTGATACGAGTCATCGATGATTCGGACTGACTGACCGCTGATCCTTTAAAAAAAACCATCAACACTCTCGTTATCATCTATCTTTTTCTATACGATTCCACCATGAAACGTGAATTTTTTCGGATAAGGGAATAGGGGATAGGGGGATGGGAGTGATGGAGCGAATGGAAGGGCTTTTTTTGTTTGGTTTTATTAACATTTTTTTTTTTTTCATTTTTTTTTTTGGTTTGTTTTTTTATCAAATCACACAGACGACACACTCAATCAGCGATCTAAGTCTAATCACTTATCAACGGTGACGATTTAACTAAAAATTCTCGACTAAATTATTATTATTATTATTATAATATATATTACGATTAGGATTAAGCTTTGGCATTTATTATCCGCGGTTCTTTTTTTTTTATTCCGCGTCTTCTTCTTCTTTTTTTTTTCTTTTTTATTTTTTTTTATTTTTCTTTTTTTGCCATCCCATTCAAGGAAAAGGATACAAATTATTTTTACAACATCTCCTTTAAATATATTGTATTCCCGTAAATTGGAACGAAAAAACACATTGCACCATCGATTTATCTCCTCTTTACTCTAACAATCTCATTCAAGCAATTATAATTCATAGGTGTTTGTGAAAAATCCATAGTTTTTGTTTTATTCCCAATCGTTAAACGATTAATTATAATTCGTTGAACGATATTCAGGAACAAATTCCTATTACAATAGCCTCGGTATATAATTGGGTACTTTTTCTTTTTTTTTTTTTTTTAGAAATTATCATTAAAACGTCCCTTTTCTTTTATCTATACAATTACCAAAGATCCTTTATTTCCTTACTTTTTTTTCTTTTTTAAATCGTTTAATTCCAAATCCTGATTATCCTGATGATGTTTCATTCGTTCATTTGTATTAAAAATGACAAGATCAGTAATCAGCATTTAGCATTGAACAAATGGAATCTTCGTTTTATATCCCAAGTTTTGTCGATCATTATTATTATTATTATTATTATTATTATTTAGTATTTTTTATTTCTTTCTTTTTTTATTCTTTTTTATTTTATTTTTTGTTCTCTTCTTCATATCCTTTTGGTATACACATATCGTTCCTTGTTAATGATCAACTTTACTTTAGTTTTCTAATACACATTCATTCGTTGTCCAACGATCGAAAATCGTCGTCGTGTTTAATTTCATGGACGTTACACGATCGTACGTACACGGAGGTAGGTTTTCTTTTCATCAATGTTGGTTTTATTCTTCATTGTCTCTTTATCCTCTTTCTTTCTTTCTTTCTTTCTTCCTTTCTTTCTTTTTTTCTTTTTTTTTTTTTTAATTTTTTACTCTTTTTTTTTTTTTNNNNCTCTTTTTTTTTTTTTAAATTATCTCACGGGAAGACGGAAAGGATTATCCTTCGATATAATAAATATGACGAAGATGAAAATATTTTTTTCCTTTGTTTTTTTTCTATTTATCAACGAGCGAGAAACTCTGCGAAAGTAATTTCGTACGATCGAAGAAACGACGAGGGAAGTATAAAAAAAAAACAAAACGAAATAAAAAATCGTTCGCGATTAATTCTCTTTTTTTTTTTTCTTCTTTTCTTTTTCTGTTAATGCGCGCCACTATCATTTTCTTCATTTCACGGAGTATTTTTTTCTTCACAGAGATTACTTGGCTGATTTATTACTTTGTACTGTTTTAATCGTATTACCATCACACAGTTTTCATTTAACGTTCCATTCAAATCGAGTCGATTTATTGTCTAGCTCGACGATCCCACATATATATATATATATATATTATATTTACCTCCATTTCTTTATCAAATTTTATAAACGTCGCACATCATAAATTTATCAATTCTTATTTTACGGAAATGTCAATATTTATCCGTTTTTCTTTATTTTTATTTCATGGAAGAATACAAAACGATATCCTACGGACCCTTTTACGTTCAGATTTGGAAGATTTCGTCGATTTGGAAAATAATTGTTTCTGCATTATATCTATTAAAAAAATGCCTTTTTATATACTTTATATATCCCCGCATATACACATATACACGTACGTATATACATGTATGTATATTTATATATACGTGTACCGCATTTTATTCTTGGTATTTTTTGTTCTTCATCTTTAAATTTCTCTCTCTCTCTCTCTCTCTCTCTTCTTCTTACTTCATTATCGAGTAAATGCCGGAGGTATTTGTGTTTCTGTGTGTATGTTTGTTTGTTTGTTTGTTTGTTATTTTATTTCATTCGTAAGAAGTAAACTACGAATTTATCAAAAATTGTTTGGAGAAAGGCAGCGCCTTATTTTAAACGGCGCTACGATAGATGCGCTACAAAAGCTGAGCTATAACAGGATGCAGAAGACACATATGCTCGGCACCGCGTATTGGAAGGCGATTAACGCTAAAATGACGAACCATTTCTGGTATACTTTCGAAGGGTTTACTAAATTGGCCTAAAATGTAAGCGTTCAGTTCCTCGTTCTTTTGTATACGCATGTGCATGAAACCTCTGGCACTCCTGCGAACAAACAAACAAACAAAAATTAAATAATATATTCAATATTATGTTCCATCGAATGTGTAAAATTATGATCTCATCGTTGCTTAAAAATAATATTTAATATCGATGGGATCTATCACACATGTAATATAGAAAATTCTAATATTTATTTAAGAACTATTATAATATTCGTTTAATCCATAAATATGAGATTTAGATTGTTCCTTATAAAACTTACTTGAGTGACAAGGAGTAATCTTGTTTGGTCGATTCGCTGTTCCTCACCAAATAACTTCCTTCCCGAAGAAGTCGTAGGACAGCTTCGGCTTCGATTCTCGTGATGGAACCATGATACCATCTACAAAAATATTCAAAATATATATTATTATATTAATCAAAAAACAGATAATCCTATTATTACTTGACCACATTCGTATCACAACTCTATCCAGAAAAAAACAATTATTATCCTCGGACACAAACACACAATTTCATTTAATATTAAATAAAAATATGTAAAATAAAAATAATTCATATATAGTATCGATTCGAAACAAATGTATTTAAATATAAATATTATCAACCCCCCTCCCCACGTCACACTCCTCCAAAAACAAAATAAATGAATAAAAATTATTAAGTAAGAAATAAAAATATATATAATAAATAAAAGTTATATATAGAAGAATCAGAAGAAAAAAAAAAATAATAATAATAATAAAAAACTAACCCTTGTCTTTCGAGAGGTAAATCGACGTCAACGAGATCAGCTGCTCCTCTCGCAACATTCACTTCTAAAGGTAATCCAAGGCTAAGTCCACCAGGTTTCTTTAATGCCAGTTGTCCAACGTTTCCTCCACCCCCGGAAGCATTTCCACTAGCTTCCAGATTCAGAGTCATCTTTGGACGCGCCAGACCGCCGCCTGAAATGAGTCACGCGACAGTTAGACGCCGCTAAAACTCGCCTAGCAGTAAACACCAATCGCATCTTTCTACGAATTTTATTCTATATATAGAATATATACTATATATATATATGTATACATGTATATACAATACAACGATGATTTCATTTATCTTAGAATTTTACAACTTCCCCTCTTGCATTTCGAACATAAAATTTGTTTCTCTCTTTCACTCTCTGTAATCTCTTAAAATAATCTTCTTCATTATTTATAGAGGTGGGGGTTGTTTTTTTATTCTGCTTCTTTTTTTTTTTTTTTTTTTTGAAAAAAGATTTTCTTTTTTTAAATCAAATACGATCTTTAATTCAACGTCGTATTTGTTTGTAATTTAATAATGCATCTCCTGTAATAAAAATTGAAGATACTTCGATGGTTTTTCTTATTTTTTTTTTTTTAACTATTAGATCTGTAATCTTCTAGAATAGAACGCTTGATTTTTCCTATTCATATTAATTCTATATACTTTCAAAGATCATCTTTAATAATCAATTTCTTTTCTTTTTTCGATTTAATAAATTGACGTTTCTAATTAGAATCATGAAAGATCGTTCGAGATGAAATAAGTAGAGTAATATTCTATATATTGTACAAAAATACTTTAATATCTGTTATATGTATGTATATATATAGCACGGAATTGAATTTAATAAAACAGAAGTAGCTCAATCACAGTGAGTGCGGACCGTCTGCTTTCGTTAATGTTTAATCATGCTGAAAATGATGGTGGTGCCTAAGGTGAAAGTATATATATATATATATGTATACATAGGTAAAAAGTAAACGAAAAGGTGGAAAACTTCTTCCTTGAGCTATTTTATTCGTCAAGTCTAAGATAAATTGTATATGTAGGAGATAAAAGACCGACATGTTTCTACTATGTTAAGGTTGAAGAGAAAGAGTGATATAGAGTCGAGACACATTAACCTCGAGTGAGAAACTAACTCGGTGTTACACCTGTCAGAACAATTTCCTTTTACCTGCTTCATGTTCCGGCCAAGAATTCAACCGTTAAGAGATTGCATCGAACAAATGAGATTATTGCCTCGTGAACTAACTTTTCTTTAACATTTTCCAACCACAAGTGAGATCAACTTGTCTTCTGATTTCTTTCTTTTTCTTTTTCTTTTTATCTTTTGATAATCGACAACACGTATTACACGTATAAAGTCGGTGAATATTAATTCGATTACAATTGTAAATGAATAATTTTGCATACATTATTATCAACGTGTTGATATGTCTTATATAAAAGAATTATTTTAAAAATTAAATATATCGGATTGGCCCATAATTATTAATTAGAATTAAAATAAACACGACTATAGTGTATAGTATACAATATTAATTTAATATATTATTTTCAGTAACAATTTTAGATAATTAATGTCTTGTTAATTTCTTCTTCTTCTTCTTCTTCTTCTTCCTCATTTTATTATGACTTTGTCCTGTTATAATAGCTTTTCTTTTATTGCTATTTTTAGGATCTTATTAATTTCGATAAAAAATACTGACTATTCTGATATGACTATGTAACCTAATTTAATATTTATTTTTTTCTCCGCTTGTCATCACAGAAAAATACATTTTAATTGAAAATATTGAACGTGATTTAAAATGAAAGCAAAGCATTAAAAAGTGTTACATATTTTCAGGTACAAAATTGAATGTACAAATAAATTGTATCATTCAAACGATTGCAATTCCCTATAAATATATAATACTTGATAAGTAATTTATATATATATATATATATTTTGGATAAAAAATATGGCTTTCATTTTGTATTAATCGAGCAGACGTATTGTTTATGAGGTAACAATGCCCGTTAATTTTCTACACGAATCCTAAGAAAATTTAAGGGTTGGAAAATTTCGTAATGAAAGGAAGATGGTAAAAAGTTAAGAGAACTTCTTAAAGAAGGTAGGGAATCGAAATAAGAAATCTTAAGAGCATTGTCTTTTGCACAGCGACAGCGACGAGACACGGGCTTTTCTTTTTCGTCGGCTTACAATCAAAACTCTTATACGTTCTCTTACTTTCATACCATTTTTTTTTTTGCCATTAACTTCCGTCATAATCCGTTTTTAATTTGAACATAACAGAAAAAAGATATGTGTTAGATAATAGTTAAAAAAGATAAAAATAAAAATACGAAACGTTAAATATTTTTTTTTTTTTAAATACCTATACGACACGCTAAATTGACAATTTTCTCGACGAAAAATCGAAAAAGAAAAGAAAAAAACTAATAGAAAAAAATGTCTAGTAAAAATCGGATATGAAAAATAGAAAGAAAGAATGAAAGAAAGAAAGGAAAAAAAAACCGTACGAAAAGTTTGATTACACGTTATCGTTAGAAAGCCTATTTAAAAACCAAAAAAAGAAAAAAGAAAAAATAGAAAAAGTGTCCGACTAGATCACAGAAAACGAAGATTCCTTTTACGCACGAGATGGTAAATTTCGTGTGACGGATATTCGATGCCAACGAAAAATGCCTTAGGACAGTGAAAAAGGGAAAGGAAAGGGGCGGAGGAGAACGGTATGGCACAAAAAGTATTTCTCGCGAGTTTTATAAAGAGTAAGAGAGAAAAAGATATATATATATATATAGAGAGAAAGAGAGAGAAAGAGAAAGTAAGAGAAATAGATAGAAAGAAAAGTCTCGAGGGAAATTCAACGTCACGAAGGACACACGGGAAAATCTCACGGGCATCCCGTCCTACGATTCCATGTCCTGACAACGAAGAAGTAAAAGTAAAAAAACAAGTGAGAGAAAGACAGAGAGAAAGATAGAAAGAAAGAAAGAAAGTAAGTAAGAGATAGGATGAAAGATCTCCATTGGAAAAAGAGAAACTTTTAATTTCCCGTGAAAATCAGGACGTATGGCCGATTTCGTTTCGTTTCATCGTCGTTCGCCTACGCGAAAAAGTCAAACAACTGTTCGGAGATTTGTATTTATTGCTGTTTCGAAAAAGAAGGAAGGAAAAGGAGGAAGGAAAAGGAGGGAGATAGATAGATAGATGGATGGATGGACAGATGGATGGATGGATAGAAAGAGAGAGAAGAGGGATAAAATTTATAGTCAGGTAGGATTTAGTATACCAAGAAGTACTCCATCGAAAGGACTAATAAACGTTTGATCCTTTAAATCGTTCGATTTATCTACACAAATATAAAATCAGATCACGTCACGTTAATTGACACTTTCTCATTCGTCAAATTAATTAACATCATTGAATTAAATGTTAAGAATATTTCTTTTACATTCTGACAAATGTCATTAACATTTTATATTCATTTGAATGAATACTCGACAAATACATTTTTTAATGGGAAAAATTAGGCTTCATTTAATCGAGTTAATAATTATTCTCAATGTTTTAATAATATTACAGTAAATCGTTATTTAAATTTAAATGAAATGTTTCGTTGTTAAAGTTTGACGAAATATAGGGAAATTCTATAAAAATGAAGTTAATCGTTTTGATCTTTCAATGTTATTTTGTTGATGTAATAAATATTAGATGAGATATTTGTCATGAGAGAAATAAATAAATTTGAATTCTTATCTCTCGTGTAATATATCTTGATCGTCGTCTATTGTTGACGTGATACAATGGAAATATAATGGCGAATCTTGAGATTTAAATCGTCGTAAATTTAATGAAATAATAGCGTTCAACGTTTTACTAATTCGTTCGTAAAATGTTGGACTTTTTGAATAATTATCGAGGTACACGATTATTCCTTACCTCTTTAAAGATCTTTCTTAAGGTATTATAGCTATAGTGTATATCCAGCATCTGTTATTTGCAGCCTTGATTTGTAAGTTTCTTATGTTTTTTAAGAGAAAGAGAGAAAAGAGAGAATAGAAGTATAAAGTAAAGAAGAAAAGCAAGGAACTGTTTAAAACGAGCCACAGTAACGATGGAGATTGTGAAGTTTGCAATCTAGAAAAGAAAAGAGAACTCTCGGAAGAGTTTTTTGTACTCTACTTGAGGATTCCACCAAGTTTTCCTTATTAGTATCGCCTTTAAATTGGTCGCAAGATAACGAACACTTATGCCATACGTTTTAGAATAAAAAAGAAAAAAAGAAGAAGAAGAAAGAGAGTTTAAACAAAAATCACGCATATCGTTAGCTAATATATTTTTCGATTAATTTTAAACTAAAAAAATAATCAATCAACCTTTAACTCTTCGTAATAATCTAATATTTAGTTAACATCTAACGACAAGTTAACGCGATATTAAATTGATTAACTAATTAATAATAA